ATTTATTATGACTATTGTACAAATGATTGCTACCTTGTATACTGTACAGTAGCAGTTATAACTGGCAGTCAAATGTCTGCATACTGGGCAACACTGTGGTGCAGTTGTTAACAATGCCTAACAGTTCGGGGGCTCGCTCTGGGTTCAATTTCTGGGGTGCTATCTGTGTGTTTGTATATTCTCCCCATGTTTGTGTGGGTTTCCTCCGTATCCTTTGGTTTTTCTCCCACAGTCCAAAAACATACTAGTTGGTTAATTGGCTTCTAAGAAAATTTTCTAAGAAAATTGTTAACAGAGAGCACCCATCAGTTTCAGTTTGGAGGTTTTTTAAGATACTGGAATCTAAGAAATACAATCCCTTCACTGGGGAAAATTGTGCACGTGCACCATTCTGGAAGCAGAATAACTCTTCTCCTCAGTGTGACTGAATGTTCTCAACACTATTGTTACATGGATGTTTTCAGTTTCAGACAGGATTGAAGTGGGGGAATTAACAGAGGTCACAAAGGATCACTTTAAAGTAAAAAAAAAACAATGAATAAATAAAGTCCTATTAGTCCTTTTGCTAATTCCTGACAGAATGCAATTCTTTTATTTGCCACCAGAATATGGTGGAGTCTGATAGAATCTGTTCTGTCTACTAATCTGTCCACTGCAGTAGCTGTACCAATCTTATTCCTTGCATTTTTATAGCAATTTTCATATTGTAGGATTCCAAAGAGCTATTACCTATAGGAAAGGGCACACTGGTGTTCAATCACAATACCCACAATACTGCATACATAAAATAAATTGCTGCTTAGATACAGTATTTATAAGCTTAAGCCAGCTTCCGTAGAAGTCTGGGACTTGTCTTCAGTTTGCTTCTGCTCACATATCCAGATAAAAAATGAAACTTATGTAAATGATTTGGATTTCATGGCCTTGAAACATCATTTTCAAACTTGCATCCCTATTTATATAACTTTCCAGAATACTCTTAACAGGAAACTGACAAATCAATCCAGAACATTCCAAGGATGGAAAAAAGAATAAAATAAAGTAATTACGTTATGTACAAATGACAATTTTGCAACAATATGTCAGCAGAGAAACCCTTTTCCCTCCATACACCATAGTATGGATGAAGTTATCTTTATTTAAATAAATTTTACAATATTTTACATATTAAAGTACTTCTGTTAAAAAACTAATTTACTTAGAAGGAGATCTATCTTTAGAAAACAAAGAAGCAAAGGAATGAACAAGTGAATGATAAAGTACAAAGATGTTTTTTTTCAGGTTTGCCTTTCCTCCTCTCTGCTTGTCTGTAATTGGATTGTATACTTCAGGTAACCTAGTTTTAAGAACCTGGTTTGCATGATTTGGTGCAGATAGTTATTTCTGTATGTATTATTTGTTTCTGTGATATAAATCAGTTCACTGGATGTCTGTTTAATGTATTTTCTCTTTCACCAAGCACATAAGATCTACAATGTCTTTATGACAAAAATTACTTCACATTACTTAGAAAAAGGGTAGCTGTCTTAATTTGTTATTATCTCAAGAGATACTGTAATTTATGTACAATCTCCTCTTTTGTGTTTAATTTACAAAAAAGGATCCCTAGTGAAAAAAAGAAAGGAAATACATGTGTCAATAAACGTGAAAACAAATGAAAAAGTAAAGTGCTTGGACAGCCACTATCACTCCAAGAGAACAAAAAATTGATTAATTTTCAGTTCTACCAAACAACTTAAACATATTTTAATTTACATCCCAATACAAAGACTCAACCTGGAGCACCAAGGAGATTTAAAAAAAAATGTCAGAACAAAGCTGTGAAAAGGTACAGATCAGAGGATGGGCACAGAAAATTCAAAGACCTTAATTATCCCTTAAATCCCAGGAAAGCCTACTATTAAGAAGTGGAAGGTGTTTTGCACCTCGAAGACCCTGCCTATATCATGCCATCTCTTCAAATGGGATGATTGAGCATGGAGACTAATTAGAGAAACTACCAAGTGAGCCAAGGGGAACTTTAAAAGAGGTACAGACTTTTATGTTCAAGGCTGGGCAATGTGTGCATACAGCAATAATATTTCAAGCACTTCACAAATCTGGCAGGGTATCACAAAGCATTCCATTATGGAAAAAAGAGCAACAGAGCATTTAAGTCAAGCTGTAAACATGTAACAATTCTAACACATAGGACCTCAGAGATGATGAACACTTCGCTGGTTCTTGTCACAATGTTGACTTATGAAGTGGGGACATGGGAATGGACTTTTCAAGTGGGCACCCTCCATCTCCAATGTTTCATTGATGAGCCCACAACATCTACAGAAGGCTCAATGGTGGTTTTGACATTCCAGACCCACCTATCTTTGCCTGCCCAGCAGAAGGACATATCTTTCTGCAGCTTCTGAATCAGCCCTGATATAATTAGACATAAGGACTTGCCACAGATGCTTAGCTCCTGCAATAGACTGGTGTGAGATGCTGCCACAAATCCCTGTCACCCAACCTCTACAGGGTGGCCCTCACTGTCCAGCCTCATTGTTCGGTTAGCTTCAGTTGCTAGCTTCCTATACCAGAGCTTCTTCCTGTTATATGCCTCATCTAATATATCCTCCCGTGGCACTGTCAGTTTCACACAGATGGTAAGGTGTAGAGAGCTGGACCACAGCACTAGATTTGGTCTTTATTTTGCTCTCTGATGGGACTATTAATCTCTGGCCTGCATCTCCTGGCATGTTTCAATCCCAGGCTGGGTTCAGATGTCCTGAATCTAGCTGGTACTTGGAGAGCTTCTGATCTTTCTCTCCTTACACAGATAAAAGAAATTTGGCAGGTTTGCTGCTACAGTGGGTAAGGAGTTGATGATTGTTCTCTTTTCCTGTAGTGTTACTGCTGGTTCTAAAGGTACCTGATTGTGTAGAGTACAGACCTCAGGAGTGGCTCCTGGCAGCACACTTTGCAATTAAAAAAACTGGTCACGGAAGAAAATGATGACTTGTGCTAGATGATTTGGCAAAACCAAAATGGAACATTCTGGCCTAAATGCTAAGAACTATGTTTGGCGGGAACCTCACACAGTACATCACCCAGAGAATGTCATCCCTACTGTTAAACTTGGTGGTGACAGGATCACATTATGAGGATTTTACTGGGTTTCATTTACAAACATAAAGTTACACATGTAAGTATTGGCATTAAGCCCATATGTAAGACCAATATCTACATCTGTACCTCAACGGATGTTTATGCAAACCTATTTTTAGGCTAGTACCTTAAAATAGTTCATTTTAATTACCTCTTATTAAGACAAAGCAGTATTCTACAAAGAAAATTTGTTACCAGAAAATGGTAATCAAAACAAATAATGAAATGTACTGTATCAATAGACTTGATTACACTACAATAGTTTATAGTTGCCTGTATTTTGTGTCCTTTTTTTCAGCCAAACTAAAAAAAACAAATACAACTTCTTCTTTTAAAGCTGAAATCTGACTTAATTCATACAGTATGACTTTTTTCTTCTTGACTTCTGCCAAAATGAATAAAAAAATCTAATTACAATTTAAGACAGATTCTTGAAGTATTTTTTGATTAAGTGTCCTGTAAAAATCACCTTTTAGTATTAATGCTAGGTTTAAGGCAAACTAAAGTCATATACTGTATGACCAACACAATCACATATCAAAAACTATCTCTGCTTATGTGAGTGTGTTACAGTGCAATTTTGTAAAAGTACTTGTTATTATTTTTATTTGAATCTCTGTTTGTTATGCTAGCTGCAATTATTCAAGTATCATTGTTTTTACACAGTGCTGCACATCCTTGAGGAGTAGAAAGGGTGACTGTTTCTGATTAGAGCATAACTGTTTCAAATATGCAGTTCAGGTCATTACCAGTCAACTGAGGTGGCAGCTTCCCGGAAAGTGCTTTCTTTTGATCCCTTGTGGTTTTTAAACCATTTTATAACATAGGATACTTTGTTTAAGTTTTATAGCTTACATTATTTGAACTTGCATATTTACACTGAAAAAAAAAAGAAATGGGGGAAGTAATGACAATTACAACAACAATGTGTGGTGAATATTACTGTGTAATATTTTCAAAACAAAACAACAAGAATGTTTCTTCAGATTCTATACAGCTATTGAGTAGAGATAGATAAGGTGTGCAATAAACTGTTTTTATTAACATGCTCTCTATTATTTATTTGGTATTCTGTGTAGTAATCTGTCCCTTAATTATTAATCAGGTATTTTTTTATTTTGTATTACCTTTTACTGTATGTAGCTTCATTTTTCATTTATAATAGTACCTAAAATATTTAACGTGGCAAGTGATATTGAAGGAACATGACTGATCTACAGTATATACTGTACAGTATGTTTATTATTATTTGTACTAAACAAAACATGTTCATTACTCAGTGCTTTGTGCCTCCACCGTAAACCAAATTTGATTAAGGTACCCATTATACACTGGACAGCTGTATATAGTATTTTTGCTTCTACAGACGCCTAGAATAAAATTAGTCTAAGTCTAATATGACTCTCCTCCACTAATGGGTCAGAAATAATCGAAGGCAAATGGCTTCGTGTAGTTCCTTTAAAATGTAAAAAGAGCTAAAGTGAAATTACTAAAATCTTATTTTTCGCTTCTTATGCATAATTTTTTATTATTATTAAATTTATCGTGTATTTTTTCACTTTACGTTTTAGTGGAGGTAATGAATAATTCGGTGGATAGGATCAAGTCCTGGAACTACAGTATGTTGCGATGGAAGTGTACTTGAGATTATTGTTTACTAAAAGTCGTTTCGTATAAATTTTAGTGAAAGTTACTTAGAGTGTTAAAAATAACACTTAAATTCGACATTTGTACGTTTCAAAGTTAGAAAGTTAATTGAAAATAAATACAAGTGTTGGGTTCAAACCCTAAGGCTAATTACTGTATGAATCCATTGTTGCGTGAGCATAGCAACACCTACGTACAAATCGTTTGTTTACTGTCACCATGGTTACTGGATTTAGGCAAAGTCGACGTAAAAGCTGTTTTTAGGTGCTGTTTAAGTTAGTTTTCCTTTTCACTCGCAAAAAATAATTTAAAATGAACACGGTGGATAAGTCTATGGATAGTGGGAACACGACAGGAAAATGCCTTTTGGATAACTGGGTCGAGGAGGTAAGTAACTTCTTCATGCAGTTACTGTAGGATGTTTTTTTTCCCCTCAATTACTGTAGCTCGTTAATAACGTCCGGTTTAAGAATTAATTTCTGTTTGGAGGATGTTTCAAAGTAAAATGTACGTATCTACTAAGTGTAATTAGATTCGCATTTTATTAAACACATTTTGTGAATACGTGTTGCATATTTTGCATGTAAGGGATTCGGCACTGAAATAACTTGATCTCTCTCTCTAAATGTGAAGGTGTTGTGCAGTTGGAAACCAGTAATCTGTGTTAAAATACCACTACAATGTCATTTAACATATTACATGTTTTGTTAGTTTTGCTTATGTCGCAGATTAAAGTTCAGAGTTAAAAAAAAACCTTAAGAGTGTGTTGTTGGATGTTTTAAAAAACACAATGGTTTGAGTGATTAGCAGAACAGTACATGCCATATAGATAAGCGCAGGATGGCACAATGACAATTTTATACCGTTTTCAATTAAATCAA